TTAAGTAGCCGGCTCCCTGGCCACCTAAAGAGGGCAGTAGTTTGATATCCTTGACTAGAGGAAGACGTTATTTGAGAGCCATAGTGGAAGGTTTCGTCTTTCTTCGAGGGCGGACGATGTACATATTCCTTTCTCCCTCGATGGGTCACTACTAATTAGATTGTTACTCAACGACTAACACAGGTCGGACTTATTTAAGCAGGTCTATTTACATAGCCTCCGTCCTTCTCTTAACACTCATAGCTACAGTGATTAAGATACAGATGATTTACACTTTGGAATTGTATCCTTAGTAGTTCTTAAATAAATGGATAACAGACAATTGGGTTTCTCTACTAAAACCCAATATAACATAAATGTTCCGGCCTCGTAACTTACACAGTAACAACAGTTAAAATGGCCTATAACAGTGAGGTTATCATACAGATGGGTGTAAATTATAGCTAAAAATGATCCTTCATTTGTCTTATGTTAATACAGTCTGTAGCCGATGAAGGAGTTAAAATTGCATTATTTTAGACTTGGCCTATTTACCCTTAGCAATATATTTTTTTTAACCCTTTGGGAAATACTTACCCCAGGTTAAGAACCGCTGCCTTAAGAGCTTTTCTGTAGAGGTAGCAACAGATTCCGTTACCAAATCCTTTGTTGCTGCAAAGTAGAGTAGGATAATCGTCTAGGAAATTCTCTCTAAGAGGTTACGAGGATATCAAATTAATCTCCTGAGCCATAACAGTACATTACCTCATTACTAATTCAGGAAAACTGTGGCTAGCACTATAGGTGAGTGTCTTTGCCTGGGAAGAGCCTTTGAGGATGCTGCAAAAGGCTTGGTGGTGGGTGTCGGGAGGGAGTGGTGTGAAGATTAACATCGCACTCCTTTACTGTTGGGGGGCGCTTCTCGAGCAGCCATCACCCGAGCCCTCCATCAATATCTTAGTCCAGGTAGATGTTTTGTGTGAGCTTCTGGTGATTTAGCGTCTTACCCACTGCTGATATGCCATACATTTCCCTGAAACTCAATGGTAACTTTCTTAAAAATTACTGAAAATTTAACTAGATTGTAAACTTTTCCACATAATTATACTATGTAAAAAGACAAACACATGCCTAAACATTTTCATAATGTGTATATGATACCCAATACCTTTGGTTTTGTTATGTAATTTAAATTCATAGAGAATACGTTAAGGAAAATAACTGAATCCCCTTAATGTGCATAATTCTTTGAACTTGGAACAGCACAAACGACATAATAACACTGGCTAAGGTGTGTGATGGTTGCCTTTATATTTACAGGTATTGTCTGGTGGTAGTTTTTTGTGCATCATCTTTACTTAATTCCACAGGTGTTGGTGGGATGGTGGCTGGAGTTCTGTCTGGTCATCACTACAGGGTTTCGTTCGTCACTAATTGCACATCTGACAGTCCAGGGAAAGTCCCAACCTCCAGAAGACTTCGAGGATTTGCTGGCTCGGGGTAACTGGAAGTGGGGTATTGAATCCTGGATATTAAAGGGCGGAGACCTGCTGTGGTTCTTGAGGCCCACTGACCCAGTAGTGAAACAAATAAAAAAAAATGAAGGTCAGTACACTGAGGATTATTTCTAAATAAAAATAATTAAAATTCCATGTGGCAGAAAGGTCCATTGTATATGGATGACTATTCCTAGACTCACTATCACATATCTAAAAATATATATTAGCAGATGCCAGATTCCAACTCGTAAGTATACTCAGAATTTCTCATTAACTTGTTAAATCATCTGATGTTACCTATACTCATTGTATTTTTAACACAAACATAACACATTTTAAAGCATTTAATATCTTAGAGTAAGGTAACTTACCATATCCACGTCAACTAGACACTAACAGTGAAAGAGGTGCTTCAAAGGGTGAAGGCGGGGGATTACTCACTTCTCACTGTCAATTTCCATATAAAAGTCGAAATTGCTTCCTACTACACTGACAACTTCGGCCAATCATCTTTCTACATAAGCAAAAATCGGCTTGTGGTAAATGCTGCTTTTTGATGGGGATTTACTGTAGGTACGGATATGGCTCCTTTTTATGTTTATTGCGATAATTTTCATATTAATGTGTAATATGAAATGTATCAGTCAAGATGTTTGATGCTTCTTCTTTCTTCCTATTTCAGTTTATTTCCTGGCCGTCAACTACGAGGGATATTACGGCCATACTGATGTTTCTTATTTGTCTCACGTAGGAAAGGTGCTCCGTTCTGTCAGCGCTTTAGACAGCTCGTGTTACAGCTAGAAGATTGTGGTATTATACCTTACTGGACAGAAGAGTTACAAGCTCAGCGAGTGAAGGAGAACAGAGCAGCTGCAGCAATGGTAACTCGGGCCTCTGTTGGAAATACTCTGCCGGTGAGCATCTCCACAGTACTGCTCTTTCCTTTGTCTGCATATTATTGCCAAATTTTGGATAATAATTTTTCATCTATTATGATAGATATAATAGGTGCTACTTATTAAGTATGTACAGCGCAGTCAGGAGGAGGAGTTGACAGATATGCTTTAAATAGCTAGTTATTTGAGAATTATGATCGGAAATTGCCCAAGAATACATTTCTTTTATATAACTTAATTAATACCAATGTGTAAAATCTTGTAAAATAATTTTATATGATTATACGTAGTATTGATGTTCATGAGTATTTTTCAAGCTCAATGATAGTCATTATTAAGTGTTTAAAGCATTAAATCTGAAGCTGCACGAAAGCGTTGCATAAAATGTGCAGAAAACGCTTTATAATGAATGTGTCAGTAAGCATGATGAATGAGCATGTTAGAAATAAGAATTATATTAAAAGGTTTAATAATAACAATGAAGTTTGTCATAATCCGTTGTAGCATTATATCTCATTTCACCACCCTAGTATATGGAAGCTCATTGAAGCTTGAATAAAGAGGCCTCAGTGGCTTAAAAAAAAAAGCAGAATTTAATCGAGGTGACTACACACAAACTAGAAGAAAGATGTGAACTTGGATTCCCTTGAATAAATTGTATTCCTCAAAGCATGTTTCACAATGTTCATGAACTCCAGACATGATATTTATGCTCTTAGAACACTTGTGAGTTATTTTATACTTCTTATAACTTACTTTTTACTGATTCTAATTGTTTTTTAATAAAGAAAAAACTCCAGCAGAGGTTAGCAATTTGACGCAATGTGGAGTTTAAGCCTTTATGGTGACTCACTCATACCGGATACCTAGTGACAACTTGATCGGTGACGAGCCGGTGATGAGCAGGTCAGGATATGGGCAGTGAGGGATGGTGAGCAGGTCAGGAGATGGGCAGTGAAGGGTGGTGAGCAGGTCAGGAGATGGGCAGTGAGAGATGGTGAGCAGGTCAGGAGATGGGCAGTGAGGGATGGTGAGCAGGTCAGGAGATGGGCAGTGAGGGGTGGTGAGCAGGTCAGGAGATGGGCAGTGAGGGGTGGTGAGCAGGTCAGGAGATGGGCAGTGAGGGGTGGTGAGCAGAGGAAGAGGTGGAGAGGACATACTCAGTGAGGGATGATGGGGTGTAATATAGGGTGTTGGGTAGGACAGCAGGTGGGCAGAGGTGGGCAGGTTAGGTTTATACGCAGGGCAAGTCAGGGAATAAATATACACTATTATATCCTTCACCCACCTGAAGCCCATATAGCATTTTATCATGAATTTTATGTATGTTTCATCAATTCCTGAGTTATAATGAATATGTAGTGTCTAATAATAACATAATATGTAGTACAAAATATTTTATCCATATACACTGAAGGACGAAGACACAGAGGTGGTTTTGGGGATGAATCATCTACAGGGCGCTTTCTACCTGTTGCTTGTGGATACTACCATTGCCTTCCTCACTCTGCTGTGGGAGAAATTCACCTGCCCTTGCTTCTCGCCTTAGTAACGCCCTCTTGAGCATCACCAGACCGTTGACCGAGGAGTGATGGTCCTTAGATTCAGCGTTACTTTACTCACATTAATATATTACGATACCATTAAAGTGCAGCTTTATTTTATTAATGAAAAATTTTACCAATTTAGTTTGAAAATTTGAAAACTTTTTGTTTTCAAAATTCACATATAAACAAATTGATACGTTATTAAATAAAAATAAATGATGTTTAAAGGCTTCTAAAGTTTATTTTTACTGATTTAGAGCATGTATTATATGGGCAATATATTAAAAGTTCAGACAGATATAATACGTTAGGAAGCAATAATTTACATATATATAAACATAAATATAATATATATATATATAAATATATATATATATATATATATATATATATATATATATATATATATATATATATATATATATATATATATACCCGAAGGATGAATAACAGTACCAACGTATGGATTAACAGTAACATTTATTTGGTAATGTTTCGACAAATCTCTTGTCACCATCAGACCTTAAACATAAAATTTAAGTGCAATAGCATCGAACAAAATCAATATGACGAATAAGAATAAGATATTAAAATGATTAAGTACAATGAGAGAGAGAGAAAATAACATTTAAGACCAAACCATTGAGTTATTAACTATTAACCTTCACTACAGTTTAACCATTCAGAGCAAAACCTCTACAATTTGCAAATCTTAAATATTATAGGTGAATATACAAGAGATAGGCACATATGCTACAACAATCAAGAACAAAACATTACCTTACAGGTTAATATACAGTACAGAGATAGTCACATATGTTACAACAATCAAGAACAAAACATAACCTTACAGGTTAATATACAAGAGATAGGCTCATATGTTACAACAATCAAGAAAAAAACATAACCTTACAGGTTAATATACAAGAGATAGGCTCATATGTTACAACAATCAAGAAAAAAACATAACCGCTAAAAACAACGTCGTGTAAGCTCAACGTGACGTCAGTTGCCAGGCTCAGCTCGTCCTTACTGTCCCCTGCCCATAAATACTCCACACTGACACTGGTGGGGGACACTTGCTTGTGGTAGCCAGCAGCGGGAAGTACACTGTAAGTATTGTGCTCAAGATACATTATTGCGTTGTCGATATTTTGTGAGTAAGGTTTTACGTTAACAAAAAAAGCCCAGACTATATTGTTGTGTATGTATTTATTTAGATAACAGCTCAATTATATCATGTCAGGTTCAGGCAGAAAATAATGTTATCGATGCTTAATAATTTTCATAAAACCATTGAGCCTCAGTTATATAAATATTCATTGTTACACACAAACGCACACAGTGCTCGCTCAGTAGTCGTCCACCAAACCCAGTGGTGGAACCCCTCATTAAAATCATTTGTTTTGTTTCTTTGCTATATTGAACCATGGCTTTAAAAAAGTGGGCTGATGTAATAGGCCCCTGTCTCATCAACAGAACGTATTATATAAATGGGTCAATACATCTGATATTATATTCAGATTCACCACCCTGTAACTTTCCACTGTCTATGAGTAAGACATGAGATGGACACGTGAGCGGGCAACTCACCCAAGAGGGCGAGACCCATAGCTCAGCATTTCTGTAAGCTCGCACTGCGATGCCCTTAAGCTTCAGTAGCTCACCTCAACTCATATCGTAAGGACGTGACCTAACGTTTATCATACATAAACGCCGTCCCTTTCTCATTCACTCCTAGACAGTGAGACTTACGGTTGATATACACTCAGGAATTATATATACAACCTTTTATAATAAAACAAAGGAACTACCGTTTGGGTTTCGTTACTTAAAACCCAAATATAAATATGTGTGAACGGACTGGTTAATTGGACAAGCAGCCGATTCACTGATATTTAAAGGGCTTATGCTAATTAGGGGGAAAGGGTCGAAAAAACTAATGAAAAGAATCATTTACCGACAAAAGAAATAACTGAACATAGAAAAGCTATGTTAATGTAAGGTGAACTGTTGTATAACCCGGGATTATCTGGGTGTTAAAATAGGGCAAGACGACCGATTTACGGCCTAGAAAGGACAGCAAGATGCTGTGACACGCATGGATAATACTCATATATGAGTAATTTAAACTTCTTTCCTCAAATACTGACACTTCTGAATCGCATCACCATAGTTTTTACTATCGAGAACTGAAATATGGTATGTAATTTTTTTTTGCCCAAGGAGGTGTTGGTTGTACCCACTCTGGCTAACTTTACTTGTCAAAAATAAACCAGAAGAACGGTGGGCACCGAAAACTGAAATTTGAAAGGGAAGTGTGCGTAGTCTACCGCAGTGCTTTTCAACCAGGGTGACTAGTCACCCTGGGGTGACTCACGCAAGGTCCAGGGATGACCTAATAGCCTAGGGTGACCCAGGGGTGGCCTCGTAGGCTGGGGTGACCCAGGGGTGATCCAAGTGGCTGGGGTGACTACTGGGGGTGATTTGGCAGTAGATATAAGTCTGGAACAATACATATCCTATCGCTTTGACTGAGTAACTCCTGTTAGAACGGTTAAGATCACAGCTTACATTGTCAAATATATATATATATATATATATATATATATATATATATATATATATATATATATATATATATATATATATATATATATATATATATATATATATATATATATATATATATATATATATATAAATGAAAACCTAATTACAAAACTTCCCTTGATACCGCTTTGGAAAATATTGAAAAAAAAATTAATCCACAGAATTCCAAGAATAAAACAGAACAGTAATTAAGGTGACAGATATATGTACGTCATATTAATATATCGTTTTGACAGAGCCAAATGAAGAGGAAACGCCCGGTGATAGCAGACCGCGCCAAGATTGTGTGGCTGTGGCAGATTGGTATGCCAGCTAAGGAAATTTCCCTCAAATCTCAAACCAGTGTGTCCACCGTATATAGATGTATACAACAGTGGCGGCAGGAGGGGACAGTGAAAAGTGAACCATTCCTGAGGAACCGTCACTATGAATCATACTTTGAAAATTCGCTCGTGTTTAATTCGATGCAGCCACAGCAACGTCTTGCTAACGCAGATGACCTCTCTCACATTTTGCATCTCACCTATAACTCCAAATATGTACAATGTTACTCAAATTTATTACTTTTTCAATATTTAGATTTGTTCACTCATTTCTGCAAAGATGAGAATCTGAGACGTAATTATGCATTTCAATGATATTGATTTAATACAGCAGACCCTTATCTAAATTATTTAAATAATAACAGAAGATATATGATACACTATATTATTGAAAATAAATATAAAACATACCGATAAAAAGAAGACTCAATGATTAGATAGTTTTGAGGAAGAGCCACAGATCAAAATTTATCTTAAACTACAGCAACTGTTAAACGCTCTCTCTCTCTGTGTATGTATATATATATATATATATATATATATATATATATATATATATATATATATATATATATATATATATATATATATATATATATATATATATATATATATATATATATATATATATATATATATATATTTTTTTTTTTTTTTTTATTTATTCATTTATTTATTTATTGTTTTTATATCTACTGATATAAAGGTGGCAGTAAGAAAACAAGTCATTGAAATATATAAACGAACGAAAAAAAAAGAAGATAAAACCAAGGCAGACTATGTTACAGTCTCTAGGCCTAATAAAACTATTGGTAAAGTTTCTGACAAAAGCTTTTGGCACAAAAATGGGAGAAATTATAAAAAAAATGAAGATCAAACAAATGGGTGGTATGAGTGATATATGTAAACTCAGTGTAATTTGCCAAATTCCCTGTAACAACTGTTCAGCTTCCTACATTGTTGAAAGTGGATGTGGGGTGGAGAGGTGTGTAATTGAGCATGAGAATAATGTATGAGCGCATAGGCATTCCAACTCATTGGTTGTCCACATTGATGAATTTGGTCACTTGCCAAACTGGCAGATATTTCTACATACAAAACTATCAACCATAAAGATGGATTTGTATGTCTAGCCAATATAACATATAAATTATGAGTAAAGATAGTAAAAGGGGCGGAGTCAGTCAGGCTAACCGCCCAATCAAAAGCCATAGATCTGGGGTCTGAAGCAGACCCTGTATGGTGGAAACCTTAGAGCCATAAACAGCTCCTGCTGTCTCCTTGGTTTCTTTCCACCATATATATTCTCATATTATATTACACACCTATCAGTTCACCATAGACCATAAGATAAATATACAGATATCTTTCAAATATTCATGAAATAATACTATAGAGAAAGTAAGGCTGGTGGTAATAACATTACATTATGATTATGCTTTAATCTACATATGTGCAACTGGGAGAGATCTTGAGACTAATACTTGTGTCATGCAATGTATATATTGATATATTCAGACATGATGTACACATTAATTATTCAATGGGCTGAAAGGAAGGTAAAGGTCTACAAATGGGAGTGTTTTGATAAACATTGGTAAATAGAATGAACACTCATTCATAACTAAAAAATTCTTAATTTCTAGTGAACATTAATGTGCAAAGAAGAACTATTTTTGTAAGCTTTGGTAATGAGAGCACTGCTGAATTGTGACCCCTGCAACGAAGACCATGTTACCACACTTAGGCCAGGTCACTATTATGATGTAAGTGTCAACATGTAATCTAACCCCAGAAACAGTCTTATACAGTATGTGTAGATGTGTTTATTCTTCTCTGGCCTCACTCTTGAACACACAACTGAAGAGGATGTCAGTGAGCATTAACCTGGATTACATTTAATTTACGTTTTCGATTTCATTGTGTAGTTTACGTTTACGTTATTGTAAATCTATACAAGTAAGTTATGTTTGCCTTATATACCTTACAATATTTGTAACCAGCCTTACATTATATAATTCGTTGTTGTGTATTATCGTTTAAGCTAATCAGTTTAAGTCTCTGATTATTAATTTTTGTAAAAAAAATTGTAATCGATAATTTTTAATAAAACGCTAAAAACGGTTCTCCCATGTATCTACCCATTCAAATAGATTGAATTTATACTTGGTTAATAAATTCAGATATATAAATATATGAATAATAAACTATATTGTTGGTCTCACACACATTGTAAACCGGATCTTTTCTTCACCTTATGATATGTGTGTGTGTGTGTGTGTGTTTAGGGAGGCATAGTCCAGCAGTGGGAGTGACGCAGACTGATAACGATAATGTAAATGACCATACTAAGACAGCCGGTCTCCTCACTCACACTAGGTAATGATGATGCCACTCGGATATCACATAGTGGTGTTGGCTGCCACGGTGATGAGCGCTGCGCATGTAATTAGTCAGGAGATGGGTGGACCCGTAGAGCCAGTGGGCGTGGATGTGGGCGTGATGGTGGGTCAGGTAGTAGAGCACCATTTCACCGGCTGTCACCTGGTGCTCTTCACCACGACACAACACTCTCACGTGTTCTCCAGTATAATCAGGTGAAATACAAAAGGTGTCTTGGTCGTCATAAACCTATATGTATGTAATATTCTTTCATTACCCTTTACCAAAATGCTTGTCTGTGTTAGTCTAAAGGTGTTACACATAACACTGTGCATCCTGAAAGACTCTGTGACTGACACAAGGTAAATTTTTAAGCAAGGTTAACAAAGTACATATAGTCCATTGCTGAACTTATAATGGTTAATTTATTTAGTTGGATACTCTAGTTGTTTATATCCATAATATTGCATTCATCTAACATGCTCTCAGTGTTTTGTGTCAATTGTCCCTACCATCTTACACGATGACCCCCCCTCACTCCACACTGTATAAGTATGATGGTTGTGAATGTTGCAATACGCTTCTTGATTTTCCATAAGGTGGAGTGGAAGTCGTGTTAGTCTCACGCAGTTCCAAGAGTAGCTCAGTTATCTTCATGTTACTACCTTCTGTTTCTTTATGTGGTGTTCTTTATTGATTACTAATTATCTTCAAAAGTAATACTGACATGTGGACGATAAAACAGTAAACTCGTGTCCCTTAGACTCATGAGTGTAAGTGTGGAGGCTATTGTGGTAGCGGAGGCAGGTTGGGTGTCTCAGGACCAGCTGACCCAAGACCACCTACTCAAAGGGCTCTGGGGAGACACAAGAACCGCCTGCCGGGCACTCATACTTGACGTCACCACCAGCAACAATAACACTCACCTTACCTTCAGGTAATGCTTACGGATATAAAGACGCACAGTAAAACGATATAATGGTTATTCTGTGAAGTAACACGTTCATGATTTATGTTGAATTTGGTGCTGGTCTAACCTAACCAAATGAAGGAACATCAGGATCTAGAATCATTACACATCATAGAACATTTGCCTCTCAATGTGCTACACTAATGGTTTCACCCCCTCCTTAGGTTGGCAGAGGCGGCAGGATTGTGGAAGATGCCTGAAACGCGGGTAGTGGTGGTGGGTGGAACAGAAGAAGTGGAAGGAATCCTTCTCCACAATAATTTCCGCAACATCGTCCACGCTCTCTACCTGGCAGTCCACTTCCCCCTCCAAACCCCACCACTGTACAGGAACACACGCCTCAGGAAGATTTTCCAACAAGAAGGTCAGCAAGTTCCTGTAAATTTAATTGAAAAGACGACAATATCTGTCTTTGTTTAGTAGTTCTCATGAGGGCAACGATCATAAGTATAATCACTGAAAGACAATACACTTTAAATTGTCTGTACGTTTGTAAATTTATTAACATGTCTACAAAAATCAGTAACGCATACATGAGTAAATCCTTCTTCTTTTTTTCCACAAACAATTGCCAACCTTTTCCCTTCCATTGGCAGCATCAGTAAGTGAGCGTGTGTGGGTGTACCGGCGCTGTCTGTACTGCAATAACGGGGAGGCGGACGTTCAACTTATCTGCAAGTGCAACATTACCTCCTTTCCTCAATATGTTGATTACCTCTTCTATCACGGTAACGTATTTCATTTCACTAGGTTCTATCAACTCGCCTTCAAGCTGGGAGTATAAATAAAGTAAATTGCCTCTTCCAGTCTTATTTGGAGTGAGGAAACCTGGTGAATGCAGCAAGGCTGTGCAATCACATTCATGTTATGGTTAAGCTACTCTAGGCTACTTCCTCTCAATTTTTATAGTAAACGAAAAAAAATAAGTACTGTGTGTAATTACTGGATAGGGGTGAATAATTATAGGAAGAGAAAATATCGCATTGGATCATATATTCAAACACAGTGAAAGTTGGAAAGTAGGATGATAGTCAAATCAAAATGTGCTTAAAGCACTGCGGTATTTGCTCATATCAGCAGAAAAAAATGGTACACTCTTCTGGTCTACCTAATGCAGTCAGCTCCAACTTCAGCAGTCCTTCTGTCAACTCATTTGATGGTTCATGGACCTCAGATTCCCAGGATAAAGTCAATCTTCCTTTTAAATTTTTACCTGTAACTCAACTGGATCTGATGGTGTCTGAAATCTCAGCCCTCCGAATTAACACAAAATATGTAAAAAAAAATCACAGACTTTTAAGAAGTGACTTCTCGAAAACTGCTCTACTGAAGTGTCTCTTGTTCCTGTTGAGAGTTGTCAGACTATTTCTTTTCACTTCAGCCTCCGCCTCCTCTTGAAAGTTATTATCATTCATCCAACCCTAAAGAAACGTGATAAATCCAACACTTTGAATTATCACCCTATTTCCCTTGCCTCTATAATAAAAAAAAATTAAACGGTAATTAATTCACATATTGTCAGACACCTTGAAGATAACACTTTGCTCAGTCACCATTAGAAAGGTTTTCGGCATCTTTTTCCACCACTTGACTCCCGTACACATTTGTCTAGTTATGTTAATAAATTTTCATCCACTAATTTCTAAGTCTGCACCTCCCCATTATCCTAAACTCTGCTTTCCTAATTAGTCTCTTTAATATTTCTTGCTGAACTGTTTTAAACAACAATTAAATTCGAAAAAATAAAAACCTCTCGACGTTTACATTATGTACAGTCAGCCAAAGATGCACCGACCCCACCCTGGGTTTCGTGCTTGTAATTTTACCTGGCACTACTTGGTAAAGGAAGGCTGTATATAACGGAGATTGTGATTGGTGGATCTGTTTTCGGCTTTATAGGTGTCAAGATAATTATTAAAGAAACCAAAGGTAGAATTTTTTAAATAATAAACTATTCAGGGTGGGGTCGGTGCATCTTTGGCTGACTGTACAGTACAGTCGGCCACAAGAATAAGTATACACCAACGATTCGTGAGGTGAAAGTGTAAATAGATGTCGGACTTTTCATGCTAGACACGATTGTATTTTTGAAAACTCAATTTCCACCGAGTTGGAGGTGCAGCCAGGGTCACAGGCCTATAACCACACAATCACTGCCACATGACAAAGCTTTTATTTTATTTTATTTTTTAGGGTGTTGTGGTCACGGCTGTGATAAAGGCCAACCAGGGAGTGTAGTACTGTGCCTTCAGTTAAATCAGTTCATAGTTATCATCAGTGAATGCAGAAGAGACTATAATAACTTAAAGTGAATACATATTGGCAATCGAGCTGGTAAGGACAACTGCCAGCCTATTCGTGTCATAGGTGCCACAGAGACTTTAAATTTTATTTTGTTGTGTGCTTTCTCAAGGACTGAATCTGTGTTTATAATACACCACTCACAGGGAGATACAGTGTACACAGTGATAGTTCATAGTGTCATCAGTGACCGCTGAAGTTGTAAATAACTTAAAGTGAGCGCTCACTAGCAAGCAAGCTGGAAAGGCACCGTGCCAGCTGAAACCAAGTCGTGTCATAGGTGCCACAGAGACTTTAAATTTTATGTTGATTGTGTGCTTTCTCAAGGACTGAAACTGTGCCTACAATACACCATTCACAGGGAGATACAGTGTACGCAGTCGCAGACGACAACTCCATAGGCAACAGAGAGTAGCTAAGTACTTTTTCTCTCTTTATTTTCTTTGAAATAGGTGTAGATTTATACACAGTCTGCACCCCCCCCCCCCACCACAACAACAACAACCATGAGTTTGATATGTGATTACTGCAGGGAGACGTCGGATATGGAGGATACAGGCCTAACTAATGCAGCGTTTAGGAGGTTACTAACTGCCGTAAAGCTTGATGGCTGTTGCTGGTATTGCCCTGGCTGCATAGTCAAGGTGAATGAAGCGATTGCAATCCATAAGGGAACGAGTTCTCTAGGGACGAAAATAGATGAAGCAGGAGCCCTGCTGGTTGACAAACTGGAGCAAGTTGAGAAAGAGATCCTTGCTAAGACTGAGGAAGTAGCTAATAGAATGGAGGTGGTTGCTAAGAGGAGTTATGCGGACGTATTAGGAGGGCCACGGGGGGGGGGGGGCGGAGAGTAATGCAGAATCAGTACAGGTTCTACAGCAGATTGGGACTCTGAAAAAGTGTGTCGAAGAAATGAAAATTAACGCACCTACTGTTAGGGGAGAGGAGGAACACCAGGAACGGCTCCAGCGCAGGAACAATGTAATAGTTTTTGGAGTCCCAGAGAGCCAGGCAGAGGGAACTGTGAGTAAGGAAACACACGACAAGGTGCTGTTTCAAAATATTTGCACAGAGGTTCTGAAGATTCCAGCAACCCCTCAGGATGTGAGGAGACTGGGACAAAAGCAGGGGGCTAAGCCTCGCCCCCTCAGGATCACACTAGGGAGTGAGGAGGAAAAATGGCAAGTTATCCGGCAGGCAAAAAACTTAGCAAGGAGCGAGGCATTTCGGGATGTATTTATTCACCCAGACCGCACGGTAATGCAGAGGGAACAGCACAAGAAGCTCCTGCTGGACTTGAAGCAGAAGAGGGAGGAGTCGAGGAGGAACGGGGACAGGTGCACATGGGTTATACTCAGGGGGAGGGTAGTGGAAACAAGTGTGCCGACACAGGGCCAGGGGGCAGCAGTGCACCCTCCACCCACTCAACCCCCCACCCGGGAGGCGGCACCAGCTCAGCCTACCGGACAGGAGGGAACGAGCGCCGTGTAAACAATGACATTTTTAACCACACCCTGCAAAATACAGTGTACTTAGCAAATGCTGCAGCTTCTGAGAATGTGGGTGGAGCGGGTTTATTACTAAGAGCAGAGACGTTACCGAGAACAAATTCTGGCTTGAATGTCATGTACACTAATACCGACACGTTCCTTGATAAGAGGGAGGAGTTTGAAACACTACTAAGAGTACACCAACCAGATATTGTAGGAGTTGTAGAACTGTTGTACAAGAACAGGAGAATCGACCCAGAGGAATGTGAGTTCAGTATTGCTGGATATGACTCATTTACGAACCTAACTCAAGAATCCTGCAGGAGGGGTGTGGTTATCTACGCTAGGCAAGACCTTAGAGCCAGCCAGGCGAGGGTACAGGGAGAGGATGTTTTTGAAGAGTCCAAGTGGTGTAAAATTAAATTAAAGGGAGGGGACTTACTTATCGTCGGGTGTATCTACAGATCCCCGAACTGTGGCCCACTAAATCAAAGGAACTTAAGAACCTTAATAAACAATGCGGCGATGCTCAACCCCAGCCACCTCCTTATCATGGGGGACTTTAACTATGGCGACATCGACTGGAGAAACGAGTCAACCCCGAATGACTTGAATAATCCTGCTACTCTTTTTGTAGAAACTCTGAGAGATAATTTTCTGTTCCAACATGTGAGAGACCCGACACATTACAGAGGGGAGCAAACACCCAAGCCACTTGACCTCATCATAACAAACGAGGAGGGTATGGTGGCCAAACTGGAACACCTTGCCCCAGTTGGCACCAGTCACCATACAGTGTTGTCATTCAGATTTAACTGTTACCTAGTTCAAGATAAGGCCAGGCCAAGGTGCAAATATTACAAGGGAAATTACAATGGGATGAGGGAAGAGATGAGGGGTATCAACTGGCCTGACTTATTAAGGTACAAGAACGCAGACACTACGCTGAATATCATAACTAGTAAAATGACCCATTTGATCGATAAATATATACCCAAGACCAAACCCAGTGCTTCTAGGAATACGAGGGGATCCCTACACATGAACCATGCGGCGGTCGACAAAATTAAGAAGAAAACCCAGAAATTCAAGACGTGGGTTGGGTCAAACGATGAGCAAGACAGGAGGATGTATGCAAGAGCCAGAAACCAAGCAAAGATAGAGTGTAGGAGGGCTGAAAAGGAGTTCCAAAGGCTGGTTGCACGCGAGATCAAGTCAAACCCAAAGGCGTTTTACCGCTATGCAAAGTCGAAATTGAAAACGCGAGTAGGAGTATCAGACCTGAGGCTTGAAGATGGTAGTTACGCAGATTCTGACCAGGATAAAGCTGAGGCATTGAACAGCTTCTTTTCCTCAGTGTTCACAAGAGAGGATGCAACTAACCTTCCTGCGTTTGAGGACAGACGGTTCGACACAGCACTGACCCACATTGTGTTCACAGAAGAGGGTATTAGAAATAAACTGTCCAGGCTAAAGGTCCATAAGAGTCCTGGACCTGACATGGTGCATCCTAGAGTGCTAAGGGAGCTGTGCAACGAGCTTGCAGAGCCCCTGAAGATTCTGTTTTGTAAATGCCTGGATGAACAAATGGTCCCCAGTGAATGGAAAGTGGCTTATGTGAGTCCTATCTTCAAGAAGGGCGATAGGCACTCCACGAACAACTATAGACCGGTGAGCCTGACCAGCATAATATGTAAAGTACTTGAGAGTATTATCAGAGATGCAGCGATGGAACATCTACTACGAAACAACCTTGTAAAAGATTGCCAACACGGTTTTATGCCGGGGCGCTCTTGCTTGACACAATTGCTCAAGGTATTGGATATTTGGACCCATATTCTAGAACGGGGTGGTAATATCGACAATATTTACCTAGATTTTGCCAAGGCTTTCGACAGTGTACCCCACGAAAGGCTGAAAATCAAACTGGAAGGGTACGGAATTCGGGGAAATGTCCTAGCGTGGATAGAAGACTTTCTACATGACCGCAAGCAATGTGTGGTGATTAATGGCACGAAATCGTCATCTGTACCTGTAACAAGTGGGGTACCGCAGGGTAGTGTATTGGGCCCGCTGTTGTTTGTTTGTTTCATAAATGATATGCCTGACGTTGTACACTCCTCCATACAAATGTTTGCCGATGACGCCAAGTTATTTCGGGAAATTAAGAACCAAGCGGACTGTGAAGAGCTGCAGAAGGACCTCTGTGGGCTCCAGGAATGGTCGAAGGAATGGCTGCTGAGATTCAATGTCACGAAGTGTAAGAGGATGCACCTGGGGCGTACCAACGGTAAGGAGGCGTACCATATGTCCCAACGGGATGAAGAAAATGTACTAGTTGAGACTGTGTGTGAGAAGGACCTAGGTGTGTATGTTGACAATGAGCTGAAGTTCTCGGGCCATTGTGAGAAGAAGGTAAATCAGGCAAATAAATTATTGGGTCTTATAAGAAGGTCGTTCAGATATCTAGACGGTCCGTCCCTCGTGACGATCTTCAGGAGTGAAGTGCTTCCCCATCTGGAGTACTGTCACCCCATCTGGTCCCCGAGATATGCTAGGGACTGTCAGTTGGTTGAAAATGTTCAAAGGAGGGCCACCAAACTGGTGCCTGCACTTCGGCATCTCAGCTACCCTGAGAGATTGGAGCGCCTGAACTTGCCTAGCTTATACTACAGACGGGCAAGGGGGGACCTAGTTGAGGTTTATAAGCATCTCAGGGGGCACTACTCAGTTGAGTGTCCTTACTTGGAGCTGGCGGACGCTCGCCCCACAAGGGGTCACAGCTCAAGATTGAAGAAGCCGCAAGTCCGGAAAATCGTGAGGGCAAACTTTTTCGGAGTGAGGGTTGTAAACTCTTGGAACAATCTACCAGAGAGTGTTGTGACGGCACCGAGTGTGAGCTCTTTCAAGAGAAGACTTGACCAACACTGGAGCGGGTTCAGGTACATTCAGGAGCCGGTGCATGCCCAGTATTTGCCAACAGTGCGTGACAGAGACGTGACCGATCGCCCGGGCGGCTAGCGAGCCGACCTTTTGGTGAAGAATATAAAGGAAAAGAGACGTGACCGATCGCCCAAGCGGCTAACAAGCCGATCAGTGGCGAAGAGGATAAAAGTAAAAAAGTAAAAGAGACAAAATATCTGGTAACACTGTCCTGAACAGAACAGACAAAATTATAAAATGAGTTATAATTTATGTTTTATTCCTACATATTTGTTATAAATACATTTGTTGTGAATGTTTTACTAGTGTCTTGTGTTTATATTACAAGTAATATATTGTATCCAATGGTAGTAAACTTGTTGCCGAATGGGATTGCAGTTATCGTACAGCTCCCTCCTCCTCCCCCAGTCTCTATCTTACCCTACTTTTTTTTTTTACTGATGTTCGGATTCGCAAAAGAAGGAAGAGGAGTAAATAGAAAAATGAAGAAGGGGAAATAGATAATAGTTAAAGATAACAGGTGGGGGAGCCGAGTTTCATCATGCGTCTAGATGCACAGTTTCAACATTACCAGACCATTTTCGGACCTTACAGCTACAGTGTGTGATGTGTGTGCATATTATTATCTGGAATTTGTGCTCGTATTTCCTGGAGGTTCCAGAGCAGTGCTTTTATTATATTTCTCAAGCATAAAGATCTTTTTAACAGAACCGTTTCATAACTTCATGGGACACAAGATGCTGTTCTCAACAGTACCATACTTCCCCTACATGGACTATACTCGAGACAGTGAAGAACCGGGCACTAAGGTCACAGTCAAAGACTCTCTTGACGCCAGACTACTCTCTACCATCGCCACAAAACTTAATATAAGGTAAGGGTATACATTTCTCTCCCTCTTAGAATATGTTCCAAGTACTTTAAATAGGGGATGCGGCAAAACTTTCGCCTCCTGTCCTAAGCGGTAATTGATTCAATGCTGGGGCACGTTCAGTCCAACCAGAAGTAAATGTGAAGGCGGCCGAGATTAGAGTCGCTTACACTACCTCCTTGAGCACCAAAGGCGTAGTATACAATATGTTCTGTCCCTAGAGGGCAATGGCGAATATCACACTCACTTTCAGCCTAAATATTGATCAGTTTATTCATCTCTGATACAGTACAGTATTTTATACTCGTACATCGACATATGAAAAACCATTTTCTGTCGTCTTCAAAGAATGAAAAAATTACGTTAATAAATGCTCATAATAGCGTTGACTATTTGCTAATGGATTACAAATGGAGCCTAAGGAAAGAAAATAAAGATCATTTTCATATGTATAAGATAAAGTTTTCATCTGTAGCCATACCTAACCTAACCCAACCGAAAACAAACCTAACCTAACCTAACCTAACCTAACCTAACCTAACCTAACCTAACCGAACCTAACATAGCCTAACCAACACGTTTAGTTGGAATCGGGATAGAACATTGTGAAGCGGGTCGAATTAACCATTCCTCTGTACGGGCCTAATTACTCAATTATGTGTACGTCTTAAGTTATCAATATCACCTTACAGTTTTGAGATTCGTGAGCAGCCTGAACGTTCCCGGGGCCTTCAAAAAGACGGCAGGTTTAGCGGGATGGTGGGTCAACTCCAGCGAGAAGAAATAGACGTATCTGGACCTATGGCTACATTAGCAGAGCGCATCAGAGTTATGGAGTTCCTCTCTGCGTATCAGGTTGACGTGATGAGCATAGTTTCTCTGAAGCCCACTCCCCTTCCTCAACACCTCTCACTGATAAGACCCTTTGCAGGTGGGTCTCATACTTCATGTTACTTATGACTATTGTGATTAAATGCAGACTAGAGTTGACACAACCTGAGCTATGTTTGAGCTGGACACCAATCATTGATAACAGTATCTTTTATTGAGCTATTAATGCCACCATAGAGATCATGCAGATCGTACTGGTTTGCCATGGTATTTCTTCGGATATAATTCAGTATACTGTAGAGTGGTCACAGGCAGGAAGCAGAGTCCAGTAATATCCAGGTCCTCTAGGTAGCGATCAGTGCCCAAGGGATAGTTAGTAACGCATTTACTGCTTAAATATAGGCCCCATCATAATTGAGAAATGGTTCTTATAACACTGATTTATTTTACTCAGTGCAGAGACTATCTCAGTGGACTTGCCTGGAAACATTGTAGGTGAACTGCTCTGGGTAGATCAACTGTAAGTGCATCACACAGTTGGCTGCCCCGCTGTAAATTAGGTCTTTCGAAAGCCTTGTGATGATGGTTTAGTTGTGGGAGTAAATATGTCTCAAATTCTTTAAATTCTGCAGAGTAGAATAAAACTGTAGGTAATTCAATCCAAGAGGATGTATGGATACCAAATCTCCTAAACCTTAACCGTAGATTACTGCATTTCTTCTTCAGGAGAACTGTGGCTGGCGTTGTTGATGAGTGTGGTGGCGTGGGGTGCGACTCTGTGGATACTCCAAAGAGCCTGGTGGTTTGTGGCGAGAGATAGAGGTGTTCAATTCAACACCGCCCTCTTGTACGGCTGGGGCGCCCTCCTGGAGCAACCACCACCCGACCCCTCCATCAACATCTCGGGCCAAGTTGGTGTTTCTTATGACTTCTGATGATTAAGTGTCATTCATACTGCTGATATGTTATATATTTTACAGTGACACACTGGAAAACCAAATCGGACTTAAAAATCAGATATTGCCGAATGTGGAGAAACCAACTCTTTTCACCTACGTATAATCTAAAGGGTGACGTGTTGTGTATAGGCTTGATCATGAAATTCCTCTAATTTACTCGATGTATACATAGAAAATTAACTTTAAAGCCATTTCGATCATAAAGCAAATATCATGAAAAACTTAATTTTCAAAAGTATTTTTTATTGTGGGTAAAACATTTAAGATAAACATCTTTACAAATAACTCTATAAGAAAAGTGTAAAAAGCAGTCGCTTCGTTCGTTACCTGTGCTTTTAAACACTTCAGGATCATCAAAAGATTATGTCTCGTCTTTGTTCAAAGGTGTTGGTGGGATGGTGGCTGGTGTTCTGTCTAGTCATCACTACAGGGTTTCGTTCATCCTTAATCGCACACCTGACAGTCCAGGGGAAGTCCCATCCTCCAGAAGACTTCGAGGATTTGCTGGCTCGGAACAATTGGAAGTGGGGTATTGAACCTTGGCTGCTAAGTGGAGGGGTTTTGTTATATTTTTCACGGCACACTGACCCTGTGGTAAAGCAAATATATAGAGAAACAGAGGTTAGTAATAAAGAAATCTAGTTTTGTCTTACCTTCATTTCCTTCTGAAAACTGGGACTTTATACTATTCATAAAATGGTGCAAGATTTTTCTATATCGCCCCACAATTTAGCATATCGTATGATATGTAACATAAAATCACTTGATTTAGTAAGTTTGTTCAACAATATTGAGAACATCAGATAAAGGAAGACAACTGAAGGACACAAAATCTCGGTGCTCTCTTTCCTTTCGGTTATTTTTGGTCTATATTCGAAAATCTGGACCAATAATGATCAGGTAATATTCTACTAATGACTGTGTTCTTACTGATATTGTACAGTACAACCTTCATAGTATATTCTTTTTGTAATCCCATGACTCACGGACCTCAAAATATAATGGCATACGGTTTTCAATATGTTTATTGTATGTGTCAATAATTTGGTGACTATCATCAAAAAGTTAAATGTCAGGGTGAAGTGTTTGATATACAGAATATGTAATTTATCTCTTTGAAGATCTACCATACTTTGTAGTCTTTGAAATGTCGTTATATCATTTAAGCAGTAAAGGTACATAAAATAGTATATATGAATAGATTTCTGTTACCACTATGATATCAGCCAGAGGCGCAGGGGGAGTTCCTTAAATACAAGGGATTATTTTACGGCACTTGTTACTGTTAAACCTCCTTCCTGACTTTGAATTTCTTTTAGTGTCTTTTATCCTATGCTGTCTCGTTCCTAAATTAACTTTTTTTGTGTGTTAAACATTCCTTTTACTGACCAAGTTTCATTACAATTATCGTCCGTTTTCACATGTCGTCGTAGTTATATTTTCGTCTCTTATCTTCAGTGCACCAAGTACATCAAATTAAGCTTTGCTCCTGATATTGATAGATTATGTCAATTTGTCAGTCCAACATATTTTAAGTTCTTACCTTGACCTATTATATAATTTCATTAAAACTAAAATATTTATTTTGAGGAGTGAGGTAGCAAGAGTCACATATGTTTGGGGAAGCAAGAGTCACATATGTGCTCTACTTGGAAAGTTTCATAAGCTATAACAGATATTTTTCTTTAGCTAAAAACAATATACCGGCAGAACGAGCAACACAATATCAATGATAAACTTGAGCATCACGAGGCATGTGTACAAACCACAAATGCATATACAGTCATATTTCAATAAAGTTTGCATTACATAATAACATATTCAAACACACACTCAGTGATAGACAAGTATATAAAATAATTGTTATTTTCACTTACTGCTCGGCTGAAATGAGTACGAGATTAATCAAAGGATTTTCTTCTATTTTATTTATTTTTTACAAGTGTCCATTAAATCTTTGTCTACTAGACTGTATCATTGGCGGAGGCACTTCAGAAAGTGAAGGGAGGTGGCTACTCGTTTCTCGCTGTCAATTTCAAAATAGAAGTCGAGCTCGCCTCGTACCACGCAGACAATTACGGCCAGTCTCCTTTCTACATAAGCAAAAAGGGTCTCGTCCTACTCGCTGCTTTTGGATGGGGATTCAGGTACGGATGAGGAGTTTATTTCTCTAATTCATAAAGTATATTAATCGGTAATACCAATGTGTCATCACTGGTATGATAATAATATATATTTTTTTTATTTAGAAAAGGCGCTCCGTTCTATCAGCGCTTTAGACAGCTCGTGTTACAGCTAGAAGATTGTGGTATTATACCTTACTGGACAGAAGAGTTACAAGCTCAGCGAGTGAAGGAAAACAGAGCAGCTGCAGCAATGGTAACTCGGGCCTCTGTTGAAAATACTCTGCCGGTGAGCATCTCCACAGTACTGCTCTTTCCTTTGTCTGCATATTATCTTATATTATGGGTCTTATATGTCTTGTATGTCACTTGCCAAGTAGAAACACCATAAGGTACCAATATAAAAAGGAAAAAGCATAGTGTTTGAAAATTATCTTTGGGTAGCTTAATATATGACAGTGATCTAAAAGACAGGTTGCATTGATGGCAACCATTTCTAGGTAATACATTTTGTTTGTAATATACTTATTCCCATGTAAATATATAAAACGATTTAGAATACAAAGTTAAGGAAATAAAACTTTGACCTGTTCCTACAGTGGAACCAATTTGCTGTACATCATAAGTTTCTATGAGATTAGTTTTAGTCCTGATTACCTCTCGCGGCAACACCCCTTACTGTCAATTCAGAAGTTATTTTTTCACGAGCTTATTTCCAAACTACTTCTACATTAAACATATTTTCCATTCTCTATTTATGTGCACCAATACCAACCAGGACATTATTACTTGGGCAATCTTGTTAATACAATTACCTTACCCTTAAATACAATTAAAATTACAGTAGACGGTGATAAAATTCGTTACAATTAAGATTACTCAGTATATTAACTGTATTCTGTTGTAAAAATATTTACAGATAATTGTAGTTTTCATAAATGTACATTATTTGGTACAATTTAATATAAATGAAAAGTAATTGCATCAATTAGCTTATTTTTTGTCAATATGATTAATTAATTACAATTACAATTGCATTCTAGGTGTTAATTACAAATACTTTCCAACTACATGAATCATATAATTCAGTACCAGCAATCATAATCATGAATTACAAATGCCCCATGCCTGTAACAACACATAAAGCAGGTCTATAGATGACTTTTAACAGGTGGTGCATAGATATGAGAATATGATTCCTTCAACATGAGGTCAGATGGTAGTGGATAACACTTTTACTCAACGTGTCAATCTAATGGTTTAGGTTTGCTTGACTAACAAATTCAGCTCCACACTGGTTAATTAGCAAAACGAGTTCTGTTACAAGCAAGAATATTCTTGTTTTCATTTGTTTTCGACAGGACGACAACGCGGAAGTAATCCTGGGGCTGAATCATCTTCAAGGTGTATTCTACCTACTTTTCCTAGGGTCCTTCCTCTCCATACTCACCCTGTTGGCGGAGAATATTAACCATATTCACTCCTCGCCTCAGGCCAACAATAATTGTTCTGGGAAACAGGAAAAGTAACTGAGTGCAACGGGTGAAGAAAAAAATTGCCGATGAATTAACAGCATAGTTATTTAGTTACTTGAAAGTCCTTTTTACAGTATATGTACTTGTGTGACAGAATATTAAATATATCCAAAATCATTATGACACAAATAGTTTTAAAAATATTGGATCAATATTAGAGCATCGCCCATGAATAATTTATATTGTGTTCGTTAGATAACTATCGCCAAAATATTAATTGTATTATTTTTAGGTTTAAACAATATTATCAATAACTTTGAGTGTTTTCTTGGTCTTGTATTCGCATTGCTCCTAATAGGTCGTGTGGCCTAAGTGGCTAACTTTCTCTCTTTCACTCTTTCGTGCCGTCACAACAAGGTACCAGATACAGACACATTTCCATGTTTTACCATATTCTGCATCAGGTACAGGTAGGCTGCTTTGTTTTGCTAAAAGGGAAATATTGCCTTTACCAACGCCCTTAGAATTGTATAAATACAAGTTAACATATTGTGTTTGACACAGAATATAATAAATACTATAATCCAAGTTTGTTCTTTCATTTTATGGTTTACCTTAAAATGTTTCTGATAGCCTCGGTAGAAATCCATAAATTGTGCTTCGCTTACATTTTATTACGCTTTTTAATTGTGTCATTGTGGTTGGTAGCCCACGACCTCATTTTGGTATATATATATATATATATATATATATATATATATATATATATATATATATATATATATATATATATATATATATATATATATATATATATATAATATTCAGAAATTTCATTGTAAATTCAAACGCCGCGCCATTGGCGATACTGAGTTTCAAGGTCGTCTGAGGGGGGACAGCCCTTATCAACAGTAGTGAGAGAGTCGCGAACTGCCTCCATATAATATTAAGTATACTCTGACGACTTCTTCTGGAGACGAATTATGAAATGAAATATCAGTTATTAAATTGAAAATAATTGTAGGGAACCGATTAGCAGACCCCTGGTAAACTTATTTACAAAATCATTAGACACTGGAGTTGTGCCAGAGTTGTGGAAACAGGCATATGAGGTACCCATATTCAAAAAGTGAGACAGAGCATCAGCGTCAAATTACCGGCCGATCAGTTTGACGTCAGTAGTGGGGAAATTTCTTGAATCAATTATAGCAGATAGCATCCGATCTCATCTAGAGAAAAGCAAATTAATCTACGACTCTCAACATGGGTTTGCAAAGGGAAAATCTTGTCTAACAAATCTGCTAACGTTTTTTTAGGAAAGTCTTCGAGGTAGTAGATAATGACGAAAATTACGATGTTATTGACTTAGACTTTAGCAAAGCATTTGACAGAGTACCGCATCAGAGGCTTCTGAGAAAAATTAAGGTTCATGGTATAGAGGGGAAAGTTTTAAATTGGATAAAATCATGGCTCACCGATAGAAAGCAGAGGGTCAGCGTAGATGGTGTTAAATCTGAGTGGGGCCGTGTAACCAGTGGGATTCCCCAGGGGTCAGTACTAGGCCCACTCTTGTTCATAATCTACATAAACGATGTAGATACAGGTATCAGCAGTGACATAAGCAAGTTTGCGGATGACACCAAAATAGGTCGGCAAATTAATTCAGGACAGGATGCAAATGCATTAGAGGAGGATCTAAATAAACTGCAGGGGTGGTCTGAAAAATGGCAAATGAAATTCAACACCAGCAAGTGCAGTTTACTTAATATTGGAAGAACAAATACTTATAATGTATACAGCCTTAACAACATCAACCTAGAGAAGTCGACTTGTGAAAGAGACCTAGGGGTACTTGTAAGCCCGGACCTACGGCCTAGAAAACAGTGCGTTAATGTTCGAAATAAGCCAAACAGAGTATTGGGTTTTATATCTAGAAGTGTAAGTAACAAGAGTGCAGAGGTCTTATTGCAACTATATCTGCGCTAGTCAGGCCGCACCTCGATTATGCGGTTCAGTTCTGGTGCCCCTATTATAGAATGGATATAAATTCACTAGAGTCGGTGCAGCGAAGAATGACAAAAATGATTCCGGGACTTAGAAACCTTCCATATCAGGATAGGTTAAAGAAACTTAACTTGCATTCCCTAGAAAGACGAAGAGTGCGGGGAGATATGATAGAAGTATTTAAGTGGGTGAAAGGAATCAATAAAGGGATATAGATAAAGTTCTTATAATATCCGAGCAGGATAGGACTCGGAGCAACGGATTCAAGTTGGATAAGTTTAGGTTTAGGAGGGAGATAGGAAGAAACTGGTTCACAAATAGGGTGGTGGACGAGTGGAACAAGCTTAGCAACTTTGTAGTAATTTAGGGAACTCTGGAAAGTTTCAAAAGGAGGCTAGATAGATTCATGGATGATAGAGAGTGGTAGTAACTCTCGACAGGAGCTGCCATGCACAGGCCAACCGGCCTATTGCAGACTCCTTATTTTCTTATATTCTTATGTTTCTTAAGACTCGAGGGAAAATTTCATCCGGCCCTGGGGATTTTGCTTTCTTTAGTTTATTTATCTTCTTAAGAACATCCTCATTTCTGATAGTGATATTCTTTAATTTCTCTTCTTCCTTTCCCTTAAATATCAGTTCCACCTCTGGAATTTCATCGCAAATTTCTTCTGTGAAAACTGATAAGAAATAGCTGTTCAATGCTTTGCTTATTTCTGCACTGCCATTTATCACTTCTCCCCTCCCTGACTTTAAAGGCCCAACTTTGTCCTTGACCTTTGTCCTATATACCTGGAAAAATCCCTTGGGATTTGCCTTGGATTCTCTTGCTATTTTGATTTCATAGTCTCTCTTTGCTTTCCTTACATTTTTCTTAACATTCCTATATAGTTCATTATACCTATTTCTGAGCTTCTCCTCCCCTCATTTAATTTCTTATATATTCCTTTCTTTATTCCTATGTCATGTTTAAGTTTTCTGGTCATCCACCTTGGCTCATTCTTATTTGACCTAATTTTTCTGTATGGTATATTTTGTTCTTGTGCTTTATGTAGTATACTAGTGAATATATTATAGTCATGATCAATTGTTGTGTTATCTATGACCTCACCCCTTCCTACTGGGGACTGACGTGACTGTTCCCAGGTGACCTCACCTAGGTACCTTCTTAACCCCTGATAATCCGCCAACCGAAAGTTTAGGACTCTGACCATATTGTCATTGTTTTTCGTTTCCCAATTTAGGGTGAACCTGATTTCTCTGTGATCACTGTTACCTAGTTCTTCCCCTACTGTGATATCTCTGATCCCAAGCCCACCCACGACCATAAGAATCTTTTAGTATTACCATTTCACAAAAATTTCTCACACATTCCTTTACTACTAAACACCTGGAACGTCAATGTGGCATTTAAAAGACTATGCACTGTTAAACAAATGTTAATCAACAACTCCTCCAACAATACAGGTGGCTGCATTTACAAGGTACCTTGCAAGGAATGTAATATGTTTTCTTAGGCGAGACAGGTAAAGATCTTGTAACTAGACTTAAACAGCACAAATATAGTGTTAGGACAGGCCAGGAATCCAATGCTCTGTTTGTTCACTTGAGGGATAATATATATATATATATATATATATATATATATATATATATATATATATATATATATATATATATATATATATATATATATATATATATATATATATATATATATATATATATATATATTTATATATATATATATTATATTTATGTTGATATATATGTAAATTATTGCTTCCTAACGTATTATATCTGTCTGAACTTTTAATATATTGCCCATATAATACATGCTCTAAATCAGTAAAAATAAACTTTAGAAGCCTTTAAACATCATTTATTTTTATTTAATAACGTATCAATTTGTTTATATGTGAATTTTGAAAACAAAAAGTTTTCAAATTTTCAAACTAAATTGGTAAAATTTTTCAGTAATAAAATAAAGCTGCACTTTAATGGTATCGTAATATATTAATGTGAGTAAAGTAACGCTGAATCTAAGGACCATCACTCCTCGGTCAACGGTCTGGTGATGCTCAAGAGGGCGTTACTAAGGCGAGAAGCAAGGGCAGGTGAATTTCTCCCACAGCAGAGTGAGGAAGGCAATGGTAGTATCCACAAACAACAGGTAGAAGGTGCCCTGTAGATGATTCATCCCCAAAGCCACCTCTGTGTCTTCGTCCTTCAGTGTATATGGATAAAATATTTTGTACTACATACTATGTTATTATTAGACACTACATATTCATTATAACTCAGGAATAGATGAAACATACGTAAAAAATCATGATAAAATGCTGCATGGGCTTCAGGTGGGTGTAGGATATAATAGTGTATATTTATTCCCTGACTTGCCCTGCGCATAAACCTAACCTGCCCACCTCTGCCCACCTGTTGTCCTACCCAACACCCTATATTACACCCTTCACCCACCCAACCCCATCATCCCTCACTGAGTTTGTCCTCTCCACCTGTTCCTCTGCTCACCATCCCTCACTGCCCACCTCCTGACCTGCTCACCAACCTTCACTGCCCACCTCCTGACCTGCTCACCAACCCTCACTGCCCATCTCCTGACCTACTCACCACCCGTCAATGCCCACCTCCTGACCTGCTCACCAACCCTCACTGCCCATCTCCTGACCTGCTCACTACCCTCACTGCCCATTTCTGACCTGCTCACCAACTTCACCGTCACATCTCCTGACCTGCTCCACCAATTTTACTGCCCATCTCCGACCAAGGCTCACCATCCTCACACTGCCCATCTTCCGACCTGCTCACCATCCCCACTGCCCATCTCGTGACCTGCTCACCACCCCTCACTAATCACTCCATCTCCTGACCTGCTCACCACCCTCACTGCTCCATCTCTGACCTGCTTCACCAACCTCACTGCCCACTCCCTGACCTTGCTCACCACCTCACTGCCCATCTCCTGACCTGCTCACCACCTCATCACCATCTCCTGACCTGTCATCACCTCACTGCCCATCTCCTGACCTGCTCACCACCCCTCACTGCCCATCTCCTGGCCTGCTCACCACCCCTCATTCCATCTCCTGACCTGCTCAGTGATGACCTGACCACCGTAGGGTCAAGACCTATTTAGGCGCTGCTCCTGCTGAGCAGCTCTCACCCTTGGCCAATGTTCGGCCCATTCCCCAAGTCCCTCTCCCCGACCCATCCTCACCACCGGGATATCAACATAATCAAAAGTGGCATTTCGTTTCGGAAAGAAGTGGAACCAGTGTTGAACAGTTAAGAACAGTGTTTAAGCCAGTGAATTCAGTACTAGACAGTACCAGTGAGAGCCGTGACCCGCCAGTGAGATAAGCACCGCTGGGAACTGACCGCCATCTCCTAATCAGTCCACTCTGAGAACAACAGTGGGTCGGCTTCACACTTGACTTCGAAATAACACAACACCACCCAGTAGGGTGGGGATAGGTCAACAACTGCAAATATGTTGCCTGTATAACAAGTGAACTACCGTGTGTTGAGCACTGTGTCGTGTGTAGGTGTAGGTGCCCGCGAGGC